TTACGATAGAAAGCGAAAAAAGAGGAAATCATGGAAGACCATTTCTTAAAATTCCTGTTGAGGTGCTTGATATGAGAAACTTTGAGGACTAGCATTCATCTGGACAACGATAGCAAAGATGATTGGAGTTTCGAGATGGACAATTCACAGAAGAGTGACAGAGTATGGCTTAAAAGATATGAGGGGTTTCGACAGCTTACCTGATAAGGAACCGAAATCATTCACGAGTACATTTCTAACCATGGGAGCGCTACTGGATATAACTTCATTGCAGGTTTCATTAAGTCCATTGGGTTACGGGTTCAACGGAGAAGAATAAGAGAATTCTACTTAAAAACCTTGCAAAGTAGAAATGTTGGCGCGAAGTCAGTCGGTACAAAACTAAACTTTTGAGAAAAATGCACTTTAAGTTTCTTACAGGAAGTATTAAGCATTTAAGGAGCCACAAATAGCGAGGGGGGGTGCAGATTGGATCTCGGGGGAGGGGTTGCAATGGTTGTTCTATTCTGTTAAAAGTTACCGCAGCTGTGGGGCATATTCCTTTTCATAAGGGAAATGAATGAGCCTGTGATGGCAAAGCTTTTCACAACTAATCATACCAATCGAGTTGTTCATGTCTTTAAAGTTTTTTCTAAATGGTCTCGTTCATATTTGTTAAAACTAAACTATATTTTTGGTCACGTTCTCATAGCAAACAGTCGTTGCTATGGCCGTAGCTACGTGAAAAAACTTATACCACTGTGTACTTTCCTTAAATTTCACACTCATCTCGAAGAAAATTCGGCAAGATCGTTTCAGAGATTTTTTTCGGGACTATTCGCTATTCGCGACTATTCGCTATTCGCTATTCGGGTTTTCCAGATACCCTGCCGACGGATACATAATATTAAAATGAATACACAGGTTGTTTCACACACTACATAGTCTTATTTATTGTTTGATCTGTGTTTGTCATGGAAAACAGTTTTCGTGGATTGTATATTCTGAAAAATGAAACCAACATAACTAAACTGCCTAGAAAGGAGATTTGCGACCCAAACCGAAGATATCAACAAAACGCAACTTCATGCTACAGTAGCCACCTAATATCTTGCGTAAACAAATTGATAGTTTTCTTGTAAACAAGCAAAAATCTGCTAGAGTTTACCTCCAATTAAATTAATTTTCTAGATAAGACAGAAACCGAGTCACCCGGCTTTGGCTTATTTTAATATCTAATGTACTTTTCGACATGCGATCAATTGTTTCTTGATGGTCAGCTTAGTTGTAACTTCAATATGGCGACTGCAACACATCTCGAAAAAGGAAACTTCAAACACGGGTTACCGCAAAACTAAAAGGTATCCCAAAAAATTGCAAGTATATTTGTGAACGGCAATCCCTAAAATGTATCTGCAATAAAGTTATTGGGTTTTTCTTCTTCTTCTTCTTCTTTCTTCGCGTACCGACAAGCGTTTTCGGCAGTTGTGTTAGGGTACAACAGAGCTATTAAAAAAACAAGGTGTGTTCGAGAAAAAAATCATAAAATTTTTATAACTTGAGAATATTTGCTATATTGCTATATAATATTATCGCAAAGGATTAACAAATAGATTCCATGTTGCCGTGCGTCTGTTCAGTAATAGATCACAGATGACGTCACATGTGGTAAGAGCAAAAAAGTGGCACACGAGGCGATAGCCGAGTGTGTCACTGATGTTCTTACCACATTTTGACCCTTCTGTGATCTATTACTGAACAGACGCATGGCAACATGGAATCTNGGTAAGAGCAAAAAAGTGGCACACGAGGCGATAGCCGAGTGTGTCACTGATGTTCTTACCACATTTTGACCCTTCTGTGATCTATTACTGAACAGACGCATGGCAACATGGAATCTATTTGTTTTATATAATGACGAAACAAACTACTACAGATAAAGCCTTTTTTTATTTCAAAATCTTTCAACATAACTAGAAAGCCGGCCTTTGCCCACTTTGGCGAACACGAAAAAAGCCACTTGACGTAATCTATTGTCTATACAAAATGAAGCAATCTCATTGGTTGCTATGCGTAGCACAGAACTGTGATTGGTCCAGGAAAATCACGCCACTGTCAAACGTGACTCGAGCGTCGCTTCTCGTGGAATGAAACCTTACGGCGAAAGCAGAGAGGAGGCTATTCGATTCGAGTTTTGAATAAAAGGAGCGTCAGTGAGGCTGGAAATTTGTGTCCTTCGTGGTTGGTGATTCTCAAATCAGCTTGAAATAGTGTCGGAGACACCTTTTAGCTGCGATACAGTTGGCCGTGAGCTGTAGTGAGCTATACTTTGCATGCTGCTGTGCCTTGAAACGGACTGGAGCATTCGCATCGGAAAGCAAGGTTATGAGTTTATTCTAACTGATTTTAAGAAGTGATGTTTTGATGTTTCATTCCTGAGCAGTGTGTCAACGGTTATTTTGAGACTGAGAAAAGTTCATTTTTTTTAAATAAATTAATCTCATAAACATTTTGTTGATCGGGTGTGTTAAATTGATTTTAAATGGTTCTCGGCTTACCAAGACCAATTTTGTGCTTGATTTAGTCTCGCTCGACTGCCGACTGAGACTGCTCGAATATTTTTTCTGA